GGGCAGGAGGGGGTTATAGGACTCAGTCCGTGTGAGAGAAGGCCCTGCGGTGTGACGCCATCACTCCTCTCGCCTTCCAGGAGCTTCTGCGCAGTCAGGCCCCTCACCTTGTTCTGATTCATTCACGTGGCCCAGCGCTTGGCACACAGTAGTCATCCTGAGATGACTGGCACACTGATGAAATGGATCTAGTTTTCAGTAGTTGATTCTCCCCCGTCCCAGTATCACTCAATTTCAAAATGCTTTCCCCAGGCATCTCATTTCCTCCTCTCAAGTGCCCTGTCGTTGTTAGGTGCCAGCTCTGACCCACAGCTACCCTCTGTGCAAGAGAATGAAGCGCTGGCCCCATGCCAACCTTACAGTTCTTGCCATGTTTGAAGGCACTGTAACAGTCACTGTGTCAATCCATCTTATTGAGAATCTCCCTGTCCCCTCCCCGCCCCCGCCTGTCTACCTTACCACCCTATCTGGTGATGTATTCCTTACCCTGCAGACGAGAGGACCCAGACTCAGAGAAATTAAGCCCTAATTGGGAAGCGGTAGAGCAGGACCCCCAATCTATGCCTTTGGAATCATAATGAAAGACTGACAAGAAGTATGGGAAGGCCCCAAATATGACTGTGAGCACGAAACGAGCAGTCCATGGAAGCCACCCGTTATGGTAGTGGGGGAGACCGTTTTTTTGCACCTGTTTCCTCATTTCTTGGAACTGGGCCTGCCACACGGTGATCTCTTGAACATTACTGGCTGAATGAACGAATGAACCACAGTTCAGGCTCCAAAGAGTTGGTTTCTCTGCCTCTTGCAGTGTTTGATCCATCAAAGCAGTAATATCTCTCAATGCCACGACGTTCCCTGTCATTGTTTGCCTGGAATAATCTTGGCTAGAGCTTATTTCCTCCTGATTTACCGGAGTCTTCCTCATGCTGATGGGTAGAACCCATAGCAATTCAAGGGCTGCCTTCTTATAGCACCAGCTCTAAACCCCCAGACTCTTAATGCCGTAGGTGCTATTGCCCATGTCTACAGATAAGTCAACTCAATCCCTTATCCTCAATTCTGAACGGCAGAAAGTTTTGAAAGCCAAAAGAGTTTTTTCCTAACATATATAATTTGACAGCAAAACACCTGCTAAGCTTTAGTTAGGAAAGAGAGGCCACTGGTGGTTTTGCTTTATTCCACTTGGTGTAAATATTGACATGTTTGACTGTAGTATGTTAATATGTTTGTAGAGATGCACCGCCTCTTAGTATGGGTAGGGTATCATCTGTGATACTGCATCGCCCTGCAAAAATCCCAAATGATTTGAAATCAACACCTCATCTGGCCCCAAGAGTTTTGGATGAGTGATTATGGACCAGTAGTTTAATGATACTATCTAGTTTACATGATTTCCTGCTATGATTCAGGTAAGGTAAAAAAGGGTGAGAAAACAGTCTTACTCAAGCATTGTGGAAGTGGACACATCATAAAAGAAAACTAAGGGTTCTCCTCATTTGTTTACTTTCAAATTTCTAGTGGGAAAGCTCCTTAACCAAGCTGTAAGCATTTTGAATGTATGGATGTTTTATATATATATTTAATACCTTTCAAGAGCTGTATAAATGATTTGTACTCCAGAAGTATTTCTTGATTGATTTGAAAATATTTGCTCATAGTGCCAGAGATTTGCTTGACAATTTTAAGAACTAGGTTATATTTTTGTAAATGTCATATTTATAATCCAAGGCTGTAGAGTTAATGTAGGCGCTACCCCAAGGCAGATCATTCAATTATTCTGTCATTCACTCAACACACATTTCTTGAGTATTTACTAAGTGTTTGGTACCTGGTTGGAGCCCCAGTGATGCAATGGTGAAACGCTCAACTGCTAACTGCAAGGTCGTTTCAAACCCACCAGTGGTTCTGCAGGAGTAAGATATGACAATCTACTTCCGTAAAGATTTATAGCCTTGGATCTTGGGCAATTCCACTCTGTTCAACAGCTTGCTCCAAATCACAGTGCCCTTATGGGGCAGAGTTGAACGGCTCCTCTGGGTTCTGAAGCTGTCAGTGTTTTCAGAAGCAGACTGTCACAGCTTTCTCTCGAGAAACAGTTAGTGGGCTTGAACCACTGACCTTCTGATTAACTGCCCAACCCTTAACTCACTGGGTCATCAGAATTCCTAAGGTTTGCTATGAATCAGACTGGACTTGACGACAGCAGGTGTGGCGTTCTGGAGAAGTACTTGTTATTGTTGTGATTAGGTGCTTCGGAGTCAATTCCGACTCATAGCAACCAAATGTACAATAGAACGAAGCACCACTCCGTCCTGCAGCATCCTCACAATTATTCTTATGCTTGAACCCATTGTTGCAGCCACTGTATCATTTCATCTTGTCCAGGGCTTACCTCTTTTTTGCTGCCCATCTACTTTATCATGTATGATGTCCTTCTCCAGAGACTGGTCTCTCCTGATAACATGCCCAAAGTATATGAGATGAAGTCTCACCATCCTTGCCTCTATGGAACATTCTGGCTGTATTTTTCTTTGATTCTTCTTTGGTCTTCTTTATTCAATGCCAAGCGTTCACATGCCTATGAGCGAATTTACCATTGCTTGGTTCAGGTGCACCTCAGTCCTCAAAGTAACGTCCTTGCTTTTGAACACTTTAAAGAGCCTTTGTGCAGCAGATTTATCCAATGAAATGTCCTTTGATCTCTTGACTGCTGCTTCTATGAGCATTGATTCTGGATCCAAGTAAGACGAAATCCTTGACAACGTCACTCTTGTTTCCATTTCGCATGATGTTATCTATTGGTCCAGTTGTGAGGATTTAGGTCTTCTTTTCACATTAAGTTGTCATCCATCCTGAAGTTTGCAATCTTTGATCTTCATTCTCAAGGGCTTCACGTCACCCCCACTTTCAGCAAGCAAGGTTGTGTCATCTGCAGATCACAGGTTGTTAATAAGCCTTCCTCCAATCCTGGTGCCATGTTTCTTCATAGAATCCAGTTTCTCTGATTGGGAATGTATCCAATTTTGGTATGGTGTCAAGAAGATCCATTTTAAATTACTATATTGAGTACAAGGCTATTATTTTGTGTTTTTTTTCTGAAGCAAAAAATTAAAGGACAAAAACATGTAAAAAATTTAATGCAGATTAGAAAATACAGGAAAGCCTAAAACTTAGACTTGTCTCTTCAAAATAGAGATAAGAATCTACCCAAAAAAGAAAAAAAAAAGTTTTAAAGGCTATTCAATTCCAGAAAACTGTGATTCTAACAGGATTTTTTGGTAATAGACTTGTGAGGAAGCCAATCAATATTTGTTGTTCAAAGCCAATGTCACAGTACATTTCTGCATTGAGTGAGCTCGGTAGAGGGGAAAGAAGGACAATAGAAAAAGAAAACCCTCATGCTTGAAAATATTAATAGCTTATTGAAACACATTATTAATCAGGCTTTTGCCACAGGAGTGAGTCGGGCAAAAATGCCTACATTTGAAGTGGAAATGAGAGAAAATCAGAAAGTTCTGAAAGGATACCACTTCTGTCTTTCTGAGGAGAGGCCATTTCTGAGAAATCTTAATTAAACAGATACATTTTCTATCTTGCTTATTTGAGGGTGTGTAGTACATAAAAAAACAATAACCCCTTTCTAGTTTTTCTCAAAAACAAATTATAGTTCATTTAGGAACCTTCTGAGAATTTATGTCTTCATTACAAACACCCAGGGAAATTAATCAAACCTGAGCCAGGGTATAAGAAGGCCAAAGAGAGAAAGGAAACTAAAAATAATCAACACATTCTTAGAGATCTTAATCCTGTTTTCTTTGTATGTGTGCACCCTCTCTAGTAAGTCTGACTATACATGGTCCAGGCTGCCTCGGGCCTGGGTGATGATCAGGCCCTGAGACCAAGTCCATGCACCATGCCGATGGCCATCCATGGTGGATCACTAGGGAAACTGCAGACGGTATGAGCCACCTTCGTGTCCAGTAACAGGGAATGACTTCAGGTGTCCTGTCAACTGATGGTTCACAAGCATTTATGGCTTGGGGCTATGTACACCTTTTAAGTTTCAACATGTCAATCTAAATAGCCCTCTCTTTGTACGCTTGTTTAGAGAGCTGACAGACAATCCAAGTTTTAGGGAAATCTTGACACTGTTTGAATCTTAGTGTTGACACTTGAATTGTTAACAAAGACTGCCTTTTCTGAAGCTGAGTCGAGAAAGTAGCTTAGCCTTTTCATCAAACTCCCTGGCCTAAACTCACTAGACTAAAATGTTGGCCCACAATGCCCCTGAGTTAACTGTGGAGCCCACCGACCTGCAAAGAAACAAGATGGATAAGAAAGCAGACCATTGGATCCGAGTCTAAGGCCTTTAGTTTTGCAAAGAATGCAATCATAGGCTTTCCTGATGAGTCTAAGACTCAGGTGTCACCGTCATTTAAATTACTTCAGAGCATCATGTTTTGTAGACAGCAATGAGTCTTCAACGTAAAACGTCAGAGCACAGTTCTAGCTTCTTATCTTCTTTGGCCCACTGTCTGTGTGATGGGTTTAAATCATTGTCTTTCAGGCCAAAGAGGCTGAAGGGCAGTTTCTGTGGAATTTGTTAGCACTAGAAAGACCATCTTTATTCCTTAAATAATATAGGCCGATCATTTATGAGGGATTTCCTCCTACCCATTCTAGGAAAATTTAGATGGTACCCTCAATTTTGGCTGATGTAAGTCAGGGGCTAATTTAGAAACAGAACCTAAATTCAAAAATTTTTCAGACTGACTTGATCTACAAATATATAGATATTTTTTAACCACTGAACTTACCTACTCTTATGCTTACCTTTGCAGGAAATCAGTACTTTGTCAGCATGGAAATTAATCGTTCATATTTGGGAAGAACAGAACTGAGGACCAGTGAGTGACCTGTCAAGTGCGTTGTAAACCTGGCACACAAACTCTTACCCCACTGCTCTCATCCCTCATCCCACCTTCCAACCGGTTTCACCTATGGCATTCAAGAGACAAGTGAAAAACTTCGTGAAACATTACTCAGATGCTGAAATAAAAGTCAGGGAAGCCACCTCTAATGACCCTTGGGGCCCATCTAGTTCTCTGATGCTGGATATCTGTGACTTGACTTTCAACACCATTTCTCTGGCTGAGATTATGAATATGCTGTGGCACAGGCTCAACGACCATGGGAAGAACTGGCGCCACGTGTATAAGTCCCTCACACTCATGGACTATCTCATCAAGAACGGATCCAGGAAGGTCATTCAGCACTGCAGGGAGCGGTTCTGTAACCTTCAAACACTGAAAGAATTCCAACACATCGATGAAGCGGGAAAAGACCAAGGTAACAGTTGAGTTGATAGAGCCTGTCAATAAAAACTAGGAGTATGGAACCAGGAGCTGGGGAAAAGTTGTTCTTTTTTTTTTTTAATTAAAAGATCATCTTATTGGGGGCTCTTACAGCTCTTATGAAAAGTTGTTCTTCACTCTATCTTTCCTCTCCGAACACTTAGCATTTCTGATTTAATCCATTGTCTTGATGCTTCAGTGCCTTTGATACCAATATATTCAATGTGTAAAACTAACAGAGTTAGACTCCACTAGCATGATACCTCAGAGAAAGGGAAAGTGAATAAAACAGGAGGCACGGCAATTTGATATAAGAAAATCACTGTAATTCATAATTATAATTAGACTGGAAAAGAGTCATATACAAGGAAGTATTTCCAAAGACTGCAACATCATCAAAGATTATCTAGATGGAAATAGTTATATAGACAAAAATAAATCTAGGTCATAATTTGGTTTGGGATGGAGGAAGAGGTGAAGTAAGGAAAGGGGGTGTAGATGAGATGATTCAGTTTGCTTCCTCATCCAAAGTGGTAAAAGAATCCGTACTTCCTCCCTATTCTATGTGAAATAATCTGTGCTTAAAATAATACGCCGATGAATGAGAAAAGGATGAGATTCGGGCAGTCTCTTTTTAATTATATAATATTTGTTATATATGTATGTATAGGTGCTAACTATCTATTGGAATTCTATTATCTAGGACACTCCATCCCCAAGACTATGCAGACGGTTTTATCCAACTATCAAAAATAACAGGAATATCATAAAATGTGCTTATAGTCTTCTCATAATTTTTTCATAACACATGGCTTATATTTGACAACTTTGGCCAACAGTTTGCATGGTTGCTAAGATTCTAATGATGGCAGTGTATGTATTCAATCTTTTCAAGCTTTAGTAGAGAATTCCAACAATACAATCAATGCAATAGAGTTTTGATTCAACATCACACTAAAACAAGTAATGTTTCAATAATATAAGCAAAGCTTTTATGGAAAGATTGCTTTATATTTCCTGTGCACAAGAAATAAAGTACCACTGAGTACATGGCACCCAGGAGTTGGCTAAGCAAGCGATAGTAGGTGAGCTATTAAATAATATTAACCTAACTCTATAGGGCAGTGCTATTAAATTGCAGTCCTTTAAAACAGGGCACTTTGCTTAACATATATTATACTCCTTTCTTAACATATATTATTAAGGCTATTTGAAGGAAAACATTTGTTGTGACCACAAATACATGGTTCTGTAGGTTTACTAGGAAAGGGAATATTTCACTCCTAGGTTGTTGATTCCAATGTGGTTATGGTTGGGAGTGACTGTAGACAGCCAAACCAAACCAAACCAGATGAGACCAGACCAGACTAACCCAACCCAACCCAACCCAACCCAACCCAACCCACTGTCATCCAGTCCTTCTGACTCCTAGCAACCCTGTAGGACAGGGTCAAACTGCTCCTGTGGGTTTCCAAGGCTGTGCCTGTTTCGGAGAGTAGAACATCTCCTTTTTCCTGTGGAGCTGCTGGTGGTTTCAAATTGCTGACCGTGCAGTTACAAGCCCACCACGTAACCACTATGCCACCAGGGCTCCCCCATTAACAGACATGAGAATTGTTCCCCCATTGACAGCCATGAAACTTAATTTATAGCTTGAGATGTATAGTAAGCACTTTTTCTGTAGTGAAAACCTTAGGACTTTTTGGCAACAAAATGCCAAGATGACTAAATATTCTCTACTGCAAAGAATGGGAATTTCAGAACACTGAATTCTACTCATTCAGAACCTGTACATGGACCAAGAGGCAGTCCTTTGAATAGAATAAGGGGGCACTACATGGTTTAAAATCAGAGAGAGTGTGTGTCAGGGCTGTATCCTCTCACTATACTTATTCAATCTGTAGGCTGAGCAAATAATCTGAGAGGCGGGGCTATCTGAAGAAGAACGTGGGATCAGGATTTTAGAAAGATGTACTAACAGCCTGCAATATTCAGATGACACAACCTTGTTTGCTGAAAGTGGAAAGGACTTGAAGCACCGGCTGATAAAGATCAAACTGGATTACACTTTCAACAAGGACTATAGTTCAACATAAAGAAAACGAACATTCACATAACTGGACCAACAAGCAACGTCAGAATAAAGGGAGAGATTGTGAAGGCATAAAGTTCCAGGAGACTTAACTTTTTCTTAAACATGAAAATAAGATCCTAATTAAAATGTTGTGTCCTTAAGAGTTAAGTGGAAAAATAAGGCAAATGGAAAAAAAATAGTGAGTGTAATGTAATCATTTTTCAGATGTACACAGCAGATATTTTTCATGCACTGTAAATATAACATTAAATAAAATGAGAAAAAGTTTTATAAAATAATGTTATAAATTGCGTAGGGGATAAAATAGGGTATTCTAATGTATTAGAAACAAAAATAATAGAAAAAGGTTTAGAAGGAATGATGTTCACATATAAGTAGTGGTTAGAGCTCAATTATAAATTGTACCAGAAAAACAAACTCACTGCCAGAGAGGCAATTCTGACTCACAGCCACCTTATAGGACAGTGCAGAACTGTCTCTGACTTGGAGCGACCCTATAGGACAGGGAAGAACTGCCCCTGTGGGTTTCCAAGACTATAAATCTTTATAGGAGTAAGAAGCCTTATTTTCTTAAGTGGAGTGATCAGTGTTTTCAAACCACTTACCTGTGGTCATCAGTTCAACTTGTAACCCTTTATGGCTCCTTGGTAAATTGAAAATGATACTTACTTCCTTAAAAATAGTTTTTAATCAATCAGGTGAAGGCTTGCAGAGTAGATTGGCAGGTTTCCATTGAACAATCCATACATTTTGCTTCATCTCATTCAATCCCTCCAGTGGACCATCATTTATCCCACTTCTTTCCTGTCTCCATCCTTCTGTCTCTCTTAACCCTTGTGAACTTGGTCTTTGGGTAAATGTGACTTTTTAAAACATCTTAGATGGTTGGCTATCCTCAGGTGTGCGTACCTCACTTGTATTATTGTTCCCGTATAGACTTGTATATTGTTGGGCTGAAAATTGAGTCACCGGGATGAGTTCAGTTCCAAACTTGAAGGGTAACTGAGGGCCACAGTCTCAAGGGCTCCCCCAGTCTCTCTCCAGCTAGTCAGCCTGTTCTTGGATGATTCTGAGTTTGGTTCCACCTTTTTTCCCACTCCGTCCAGGACCCCTTCTAATGTGACCCCTTCCAGGGTTGTTGGTGATAGTAGCTAGAAGTCAACTAGTTCTTGTGGCTCAAGTGTGTGGAGACTGATGTTCGCATGGTCCATTCGTCTCTTAGACTAACTGTGTTCCTGCGTCTTCCAATTTCATGATTATTTTTTGCTGGGGACGGGGAGAGACTCATAGTTTCATGTTGGATGGCGGCTCCCGAGCTTTTCACACCCCATTCTCAGCACAGGTATTTTTAATCACAGTTGAAAGCACTTGGATGCTTTTAAAAATGCAGATGACCAGGCCCTGCTCTAAAAAGCTTTTATGCGCAATTTTGAGAGCTGAAATAGATAAGCATATACTTATAAATGCACGTGTACAAATAAACCTTTTTATGCATATATATCTAGGTTTAAGTATGCTTCCTTACATATAGGTATACCATACACAAGGTACATAGGTATATTTACATCGACCATCATAAAGAGCTTTATATTTTTCAACGTTGAGATTAGAAAAGCAAGCGCTGGTAGATGATGCTGGACTCTAATTCCCAAGAGAGCAAGAAAGTATCTTAAAAGATGTCAACAGAGGCAAAGTCTAGAGCAGTGGTTCTAAACCTTCCTCATGCTGCGACCCTTTCATACCGTTCCTCATGTGGTGGTGACCCCAACCATAAACTTATTTTTGTTGCTACTTCATAAGTGTCATTTTGCTACGGTTATGAATTATCATGTAAATATCTGATATGCAGGATGTATTTTCATTGTTATAAATTGAACATAATTAAAGCATAGTGATTAATCACCAAAGCAATATGTAATTATATATTGTGAACTATTTATTTCTAATGACAAATAAATGAAATTTTGTCTTGAAGCATGGTGTAGCATGGGTAACAGTTTTCTTGCCGGGTACCCCTGTGTGAGCGTATCTGCATGTGGGCGGACCCGCCTGGAGACGGATAGAGGAGCGGTGTCTCGGTTCCTGAGACCCTCGGAAATATGTGTTTTCCCGTGGTCTCAGGCAACTCCTGGGAAAGAGTCGTTCAACTCCCAAAGGGGTCGCGACCCACAGGTTGAGAACCACTGGTCTAGCGTCTGTTTGGTTGTTGATCACAAAAGAACATTAACTATTGATTGATAGCATTGTCATTAATATTTATTCACTGATGACAAATGCTTCCTTGTATTGGAAAGTATTATTTGTTTTATCTTCATCTTTGATACCTTTCTGGTTTGGGATTTGTTTGGTAATGAAGTATCATTAGAAGTATCTATATCATTAGAATAATGAAGTGTCATTAGAATAGTAGCTCTTGTTATCATTTAATTTGTATTTAAATTGTTGTCAGATGCCAATAAGCTCGTTATGATTCAGTATCTCTGTGTACAACAGAACGAAACACTGCCTGCTCTTGTGCCATATACATGAATAATGTACATGTATGTATGCATGCAGCACAAAAATGCGTTATTAATGTGATGTGTGGCCGGAAGAATTGGGGAACCGCTGGTGGTTGAGATACAGTCCAGGCCCCCGAGCTTGTCTCCATTCTGTCTTTTCACTCCTGTTTCCTTCGTCTTCGATCTAGTACTGCGTCACCAAACGTTTTCACACATTTCTGTGCCCGTGCTGAAGCAACGTCTTCTTCTTTGGAATATTCCTTCCTTCCTGTCAACTCATGGCCTACTTACCCCGCAAATCCCAGCTCTGCGCCTCAGACTCTTTTTTTCTCAAACTCTTCCTTCTTCCCTCCTTGGGCAGAATTCATTGTTGCAGCACTCTGTTCGTGGTATCAATAT